GAAACCATGTTGTTCAGGAATGATACATTCTTTAACTTTATAAATGAGCATTTTGTGTACAATTAGTTCAAGTAATTTACTTAGTATATTTATTTTGCAAATCGGTCGGTAATTACTTATGGAACATTTTTCACCATTTTTGAAAATCGGGGATCTGTTGAATATAATGGTAAGGGGAACATATAAACTGGATGCACAGTTTTTGATAAAAAATGATGGAATACCATCAGGACCACAGCCTTTATTTTCATCGAGCTTGCAAAGAATGTCGTGAACTTCATTTTCTGTGACGTAGATTTTGTTAATCAGGCACTTGTCTGTTTTCGAAAAGACTTGTAATGTTTGATCGTAAGGTTGAAATACACTTCTGAAAAATTTAGAGAAAAGGTCACAAACTGCAGCACCGTCTGCGGAATGATCATCTAGTTTCATTGAATTGGGTAGACTATCATTTCTATTTTTTGCGGATACGAATTGCCAATTTTTTTTGTATTATTTGGTATATCGTTTTGGACAGTATTGATAAAATTTTTGTAGTCTTTATTTATCATTTGCTTGGTTCTGCGTCGTAATTGACGAAACAACAAGTAATCTGCTGGAGAATTCAAAGATTTCCATTTTTTATGGGCTTTATTTTTTTCTGTTATTAATTTTAGTGTATTTTGGGTGAAGTACGATGGAAAATCACTGAAAACTCTTTTTTTGGGTATGAATTTTTCAATGAGATTATAAATTTTTTCATAGAATACTTCTATGCAATCATCCACGGTTGAAATCCTCTGAAAGATATCAACTTAATCGATATTAGAGATTTCAAAATTTAAAGCATCGTAATTACCTTTCCTGTAACTGTTAAGAGATTTTATGTTTGACTTAAGTTTTTTCAGCACAGACAGTTTTAGGTTGAATTCTATACTCACATGATGAGGATGATGAGGGTCTTCTTTCACTAGAGGCTCGCCGTGTTGAAGTTTATCAATTACTAATTTGTTACATCTAGTATTCTGTTGTTGACATTTTTTAGATTGTTGAACTGTGAGAGGCCATGAAAGCATAGCATATCATTTAGTTCTATAAATTTTCAATATAGGACATTCAAAGATTTAATGCTGGAAGCTAAGAGGCAGATCCAGGTTACAGATGTCTTTTACTAGCTAGTCTGATTTGGGCAATTATGCGAGTGATATAAATAGGGATTTTGTAAGTTAAATATATTTTTGGCTTATTCGATAAATCAAATTCACGGTACAACAGAGAATATCGCGACAGTGAAGCATTCGTGAGATCCTCCTGATATAAATGGTTTTTGTATTTGTCGAGTAAGGTTTTTTAGTCTTTGAGCCTTTGTAAGCTCAAGTTATTTAAGAGGCCAAAGTAACTAATTGTGTGAAGGATCTCTTTAAGTTATTTAATCCAATTGTACCTCGCTTCTCTGTTTTCCATGCCAAGTAGATTATTCAAACAAATTCTTGGGAACCTTGTTTCACTCATTGTGAGCATTTTAATGAGCCAATTAATTACTCGTCTTTCTGGAGGGATTTTCTAGTGAAACATCATACCAACTAGTACAAGGTCTCAAATTTTCACTTTTTGATTGGTTTATTCAAATCGTCTTGACATTTTGACAATGGAAATGAAGTCTAGTTGATATCAATCAGAGGAACAGTTGACTCTAGAAAAGCCCTATACCACTTATCCAAAGAAGCTAGCAAAGCCACTCACGAATTTCAACATGAGACTCATCACATAATTTTAGGCTTATTTTAGGCTAATGTAATACTTCATTCCCAAATGTTCTTTTCCTCTTCATCATAGGAAAATCTGTGGCTTTGCTAGCTGAATTCAGCAAATCCATTTTTTAAAAACAATATTTTTTGATAGTCAAAATTGCCGTAGTGATGTAAAATTCTCGAGAAAGTATTTTTGGAGAACGTTCCCCGAGCACGAACGAGCCTGAACGAGAATAAACAAGCATAAACGAAAAAAACCCGAGAATTTATGTTTGGGGTGTAGTAAAGTATCCAAAAACATACTTTTCGTGGTTCTTTCTGAAAATTCTCAGAATTCTCAAATTGCTGAAAATGCTTAAAATTCCCCTAATGCTCCATAAAAAAATGACACGCTGTATCAATATTCTGTGTTACAACTAATACAGTGATATTAACTTCTATACTATAACATAATAAAAAACCTTTATTAAGTAGAAAAATAGCAGAAACTCAAGTAACAATTGGATTTAAAAATGAACTGAAAATACCATGTTAGGTTGAGAAGTAATATGTTTCACCTATAAACTAGCTATAAACCTATACTCTTCTTCATCTACTCCAAATCTTCAATATCCCCTTCAAAACTTTCTGATATCCGCATTGTGGACACTGTAGGACCTGGTATCCTCTTCAGACTCATCAGTCTCAGAGTTCTAAAATTCAGATTTTTTTGATGATGGACCCTGAACCTGATTACCAAGATCTAAACCAGCTGTGGAAGTCTCTGAAGGAGTGGAGGATTCCAAACATTGAAGTTCAATCAGTTCCGTTGATTTTGATGTTTCCTTTTTGATAATCTTTGAAAGAAACAACAATTTTATTGTCTTTCAGTATCAATTCATTCCTTACCGGCTATATTCATAATAACAAAATTTGCAAGAATAAACGTCTTTACTATTACGTTTTTTATGAAGAAAGAAGTGAAATGCCTCGCATTTTTTTCCGGGCATATTGAAAAACAAAAAAAAAAAACAAAAAACAACACTAATAATGCACTCACCTTTGCATCTGTGGTTTCACAAACCACCAATACAAAACAAGGGGATTCACATGCCATACAAGCGGATGAAGCGCACTGATTGGTCGGGATCTCGTTCGTGCTAAAGCACGCTCTATCATGCGCGTACGATCGATTTATGTTGCGCGAACATTCGCGAACGTTCCCCACAGCATGAAGGGAACATTCCCCCCTTGACATCACTATGTATGGGGATTCAGAAGCTAATTTTAGGCTGATTAATTACCATATTTCAAGTGATCAACATTTAGAAGAAAAAAATCATAAGGAAATGATTTGCAGATTTACATTGTTATTCACTAGGCATTATGCATTTTTATCAAAAGCATATTTCATGAGGCAAAGCAATGATATTGAAAATAGGCTCAATAACTATCCCATTTTTGAATTTTTAGTTGCATATTTAAAACAAAACTCTGAGTTTGCTAGTTTTGGGCAAACTCAGCAGAGCCATTTTAGAAAAGAATATTTTTTCTACTGATTTGATATACCTATTGGTATTCAAAGGCTAATTAATTACCATTTTTCAGGATTTTTTCCTCAATGTTAAAAAATGAAATGATTTACATGAAAATATCTATTATTCACTGGACATTGATTTTCCTTGAAAGCATATTTGATGACGATTTTATGAGGCAATAACTATCACATTTTCGAATTTTTCACTGCATATTTGTTTATAGTATTGATATTGATTTATCAAACCAGGGTGAATACATTCTTTTCATAAATGGCTCTGCTGAGTTCACCCAAAACAAGCAAGGCCACATGTTTATTTTGAAAAATATGCAGGAAAAAAATTCAAAATGGGATAGTTATCAATACCATCACTTTGCTTCATAAAATCATCACAAAAAATGCTTTTGATACAAATACATAATGCCTAGTTACTAAGGCTTATTTGGGAAAATCATTTTTTTTTCTAAAAGCATAGGGTGATTGATTTCCCAAGAATTCTAGCTAAAATTAGTCTTTGAATCTCAATATATCATTTATCCATTTATCAAATGGGTGAAGAATATATAAACTTTTCAAAAACTGCTCTGTTGACCCCATCAGAAGCTAGAAAAGCCACAGTTTTCTTTGAAATTATGCAGAGAAAAATTACAAAATGGCATATTTATTGAGCCTACAATCAATACTATGCTTTGCCAGGCTTTGTCTCATAAAATTGTCATAAAATATGTTTTTGATAGAAATGCATAATGATTAGTAAATAAGAAGTATTTCTAAATATCTTTTTTTTTTTCTAAACGTTGGATAAAATATATATTCTTTTAAAAATTGCTCTGCTGAGTGCGCCCAGAGCTAGCAAATCCACAGGTTTCATTTTAAGAAATTAGAAAATGGAATAATTATTGTGCCTACAATGAATACTATTGCTTTGCCTCTAAAATTACTCTGGATAGAATTGAATAATACCTAGTAAATAATGCCTATTCGGTTTTTATTGAGCAAAAAATTGAAAAATTAGGTAAATAATTAACTTTAAATTAGCCTTTGAATCACAACATAGCAAATCCTTTTCAAAAATGGCTCTGCTGAGTTCAAGGAACCTAGCAAACCCACAGATCTATAAAAGAAAGGAATAAGAAATATGGGAATAGGGTAATAAATTACCATAAAATGAGCTCTATCACTATATCAAAAAATATTGTTTTTCATAAATGGCTTTCTGAATTCCACCTAAGCTAGCAAAGCCAAAGACTTTTCAATGAAGAAGAGGAATAAGATAAATATTGTTTTTCAAAAATAGCTTTGTTCTGTTTGGCTGAAGCTAGGCAAAGCCACAGATTTTTCTATGATTGAGAGAAGCAAAAAATAAGGGGAATGTAATGAATTAGCCTATAATAAGCCTGAAATTATGTGATGAGTTTCATGTTGAATTTGTAAGGGTATTTGCTAGATTCTTTAGTATAAAGACACTACTGATTTATTGTTAACATAATACATATGATCAACTTCTGAAACAAGTGGAAATAACTTTTTTATAATGAAATAAATATAAAGGTATCTATGAAGCATAAATATGTAAGTCACCACAAAATGATTAGAAAATAATCAAGACATATCATCTTCAGGGACATACTTCTGAGGACCCTGAGAAGAAGCCATTATTTCTTGAACTACCTGTAGTAATATGACCATGTATCCCCAATGGATGATCGATGATAGTCAGTCAGGCTACCATTTACCCCTCAATCGACACTTACCTGTATTGCCACACTGTGTAGTTAGCAGGATTTAAATGTGCAGCAGTTTGAGTAAGTTCTAGGGCTCTCTCAGAAATCTCCTTGTTTTTCAGAATTGCTCGAAAGTAATCGAAACAATCGACAACTGAAAGAAGAAATATATAGGTGTTGTAGAGATAGAAACTCTAGAAAGAACCACAGATTTTGGGGTCACTCACAAGCTTCTGTATAATCAATAGCTACTACAGGCTCGTCGGCATCGTCTTGTTTTAAAGGAGTTACGTTTTTCCATTCAGGTCTATCTCTGTATAAAACATACTGAGAATCATTCTCATCGCTACTATCACTCATAATTTTTGAAAAATGAAATCAAAAATATTGAACGTGAATAATGTTTGGTTAACTTTAAACAACTGACATCACATCTGACATTGACTTTTGAACTAACAGTTAGCCGTGTGAACTGGCTGCCTAGCAGCTGGCAGCTGCAAGGATTTCCATCTGCCAGAATTTCCGATGTTACCCGAATACCAGTGGCGTCACGTTTCTTAATAAAACTTATATCTGGTTGCCTGGCAGCAGGATTTCCATCTGTCAGAATTTACTTGTGGAGTGAATGAAGTGGAAAACCATTATTTATTTATTATGTTATGTTTATATGTTTATTCAATTTGGAATATATCTGTTATGTATTAAAAAAAAAAAAAAAAAAAAAGACCAGTGGAGTCACGTTTTCTAATGGAAATTGTATTATAATTTTTTTTTTGTATATCGCTACTTCAAAGTTGGGAACCAACTCCCCAGAAGTCGAAACTTGTGCGGGGTTAGGAAGAGCGGGACCTACAGCTTATAGTGGAATCCGAATAATGATTGAAAATTTTGAATAAATGTCTCATTTCCATAAAAAGGCTGATAATAGCAGAGAATGATCATAGGTATTGGAATCTATATGGTTTTTCACAATTGAAAGCAATAGGGAAATAATAAAAATATGATAATTGACTGACTGAATAATAAAATATTAACATTTTGTTGCACGTTTTATCAGGAAAGCTAGAAGGTTTTTAGGTCTTCCTGACATTGTTATATTTTATCAAACTTGTGAAATACATATATAGAAAAATTAATTCTTTTTGGGAACCGCAATTTCTTGCTGATAGAGTTGAGATGACATTTCACTCTTGAAAGGGGATATTATATTTGAAAAATCAAACAACCTCGTACTTCCCATTAGCAAGAAAATTATTTCGTATAGATATGATCGAATATGTCACAAAGAACTGTTTTTTTTTTCATATTTCATCCTGACAGTCGAATGCAAAGTACTATGATTTGACTTTTTCAAATTTTATCCGTTTTAGGGGTGAAAGGTCAACTCATCCCCATTAGCAAGAAAATATTTCCTATAGAAATGATCAAATATATGTCACAATAAAGAACTGTTTTTTTCATATTTCATCCTGACAATCGAATGCGAAATACTAGATTTGACTTTTTCAAATTTTATCCATTTCAGGGGTGAAACGTGAACTCATCCCCATTAGCAAGAAATTATTTCGTATAGATATGATCAAATATATCACAAAGAACTGTTTTTTTTTTCATATTACATCCGCCTGACAGTCGAATGCGAAATATTAGATTTGATTTTTTCAAATATTATCCGTTTTAGGGGTGAAACGTCAACTCATCCCTATTAGCAAGAAATTATTTCGTATAGATATGATCGAATATGTCACAAAGAACTGTTTTTTTCATATTTCAACCTGACAGTCGAATGCGAAATATTAGATTTGATTTATTCAAATATTATCCGTTTTAGGGGTGAAACGTCAACTCATCCAAATTAGCAAGCAAATATTTCCTATAGATATGATCAAAACTGTCACAAAGAACTGTTTTTTTTTTCATATTTCATCCTGACAGTCGAATGCGAAGTACTAGATTCGATTTTTCCCAATTTTATTCGTTTCAGGGGTGAAACGTCATCTCATCCCCATTAGCAAGAAATTATTTCTCATAGATATGATCGAATATATCACAAAAAACTGTTTTCTTCATATTCCATCCTGACAGTCGATTGCGAAATACTAGATTTGATTTTTTCAAATATTATCTGTTTTAGGGGTGAAACGTCAACTCATTCCTATTAGCAAGAAATCATTTCATATAGATATGATCAAATTTGTCACAAAAAACTGTTTTTCCATATTTCATCCTGACAGTCGAATGCGGCGCGAAGTACTAGATTTGATTTTTTCAAATATTATCCGTTTTAGGGGTGAAACGTCAACTCATCCCCATTAGCAAGAAATTATTTCATATAGATATGATCGAATATGTCACAAAAAACTGTTTTTTTCACATTTCATCCTGACAGTCGATTGGGAAGTACGAGGTTTGATTTCTTCAAATATAATATCCCTTTCAAGAGTGAAATGTCATCTCAACCCCATTAGCAAGAAATTGTTTCGCTACAAAGAATTGGTTTTTCTATATATTTCACAAGTTTGATAAAATATAACAATGTCAGGAACACCTGAAAACTTTCCTGATAAAAAGTGCAACAAAACGTCAATATTTTATTATTCAGTCAGTCAATTATCATATTTTCATCATTTTCCTATAGCTTTCAATTGTGGAAAACAATATATAGATTCCAATACCTGCTATGAATCATTCTCTGCTATTACGAGCCATTTTATGGAAATGAGACATTTATTCAAAATTTTCAATCATTATAATACAATTTTCATTAAAAAACGTGACTCCACTGGTCTTTGGGTGACTTCGGGAATTCTGGCAGATGGAAATCCTGCTGCCAGGCAACCAGATATAAGTTTCGTTAAAAAACGTGACGCCACTGGTCTTCGGGTAACATCGAAAATTCTGGCAGTTGGAAATTCTAGCAGCTGCCAGCTGCCAGGCAGCCAGCTTAGTTTTATTCTGGTCCCCTGATAGCATAGCGTCAGCCCACTGTTATCATTTCTGTAGTGATTTAGGCTTTCAAGGATGTTTTTCCTTCGAGACCACGAAGCTGTCGTTTTTCTACGAGCGAATGAGCATGCGTCCATATTATATCACGTGATTCACTGTGACCAATCTGGCGATGAGGTTTGGGAATGGTTCGAAAACTTTATGCTCTCGTCACGTACCATATAAATGTCTCGCACCAGTCGTTCAAATAGTAGCTTCCTGCTATGCTGCGGTAAGATTATCAGAAGGTTATAAGTAAGAAAAATATCTTCTGTGCATGGAAAGGGAGTCTACTTTTAACCTTACTCAGCCTAGATGGACCAATTTCCTGAAAAGTATATCTTTCAAAGTATTGTGACAAACAAGCTAAGCCACGATATTTCTTCTTTCTTCATAGTTAAAATATTCGAGTAGCTTGATAGCTCAGTCGGCTGACCATGAAAAATATGCAAAAATACAATTTTATCTTAGGGATGGGCTTGTTGTACACATCCCTAAACAAGGAAAAGATCTAAGATCAAATAATGGCTGCCGCCCCATATCTCTGCTCAGCGCAGTAGCCAAGATCGTGGATAAGGTTCTCTTACGACTCATATCACGCCACATCAAAAAGCTAGACCTCATACCAATGGAACAATTCAAGTTTCGTAAGGGACACAGCACATCGGTGTCCCAATAGTGACCCGAATTGATCACGAGGAAAAGGAGGCCAGCAATAACAACAAAAACACTGTTTTGGTCATGATGGTCATAGAAAAGGCTTTCGACACTGCCTGGCACGAAGGTCTAATGTCCGAGCTGTACAAGCCTGAAGTGCCGATTTTTATCATCAAGGTTATATATGCATATATCACCAATAGGAAAATCCGGGTTGAGGTCAACGAAAGTATATCGGGGGATTTTCCACTCGAGGCAGGTGTTCCGCAGGGATCTTGCCTCTCACCTCTGCTATACAACCCTGTATACGCACGATTTCCCTGTATTCGAGCGAACGAGTACAGCATTGTACGCAGACGATACTGCGATATATGCTCACTCGTTCGATTCGGATATTGCTAGACAGCAGATCCAGATTCATCTGGACAGGGGAATCGTACCCTACTTTGACGAGTCAAAGATCTGTATGAAAACCGCGAAAACGGAAGTGATCAACTTCCACCAGAAAGTCAACGATTCCAAGTTGCACAGACCTTTGACCGTCAAAGGGGTCGAGGTGACGGACACGGTCCCTGTGAAATACCTGATGGTGAACCCCCAGTATGACTCTCAGGTTTAATACCAAATGTCTCATACAAAAAACTCAAGGTGCCATCAAGAAGATGTACCGTTGAAAGTTGAGAATCAGGCCCCAGGACCTCTTCACTTTCTGTGGAGAACAAGTTCCTGGTGTACAAGCAAGTTATTAGGCCTGTGATGACGCACGCGTTCCCGGTGTTCTGCAGTATCCCACCAATGCATATGAACAGATTTCAGGTGCTGCAGAACAAAGTACTTCGTGTAATTACCAATGGTGATCGCTGACAGCTAGGATCGGGCGGAGGCGCGGGCGGGACGAGCCGAGCTCAACGAACAGGAGGTTTTTATTTTTTCAATTATTCTATTTTCCTCTATCCCCCTACAAACCACCCACCAGTGATAGCGACTGATCAGCTCCCCCACCCTCTTGGGTAACCTCAGTGAGATCACCTATATAAGGGGCTTGGCCCCAGAGGAGATAGGCCTTTGAGGCTAACATTTCACAAATACACCCACATTACCTGGCGAACACCAGCCACCTCTGCACCACGCGGAGGACCCATTACAGAGCTCTGAGGTCCAGCAAGATGTCCTGCTTTCTGAAATGTGTTTTGTAAAATTTGTGCTCAGCGAGAAGTATTTTTTTTTATTTTTCATTTCATTTTTTCCACAAGTTATTTTTCGAAAGAATATACTTTTCAGACAAATGGTTCATTTAGGCCAAGAGGTTGGTAGTCTTGTTCTTCATGCAGAAACGATATTTTCCTTCCTCATAATACCTTTATAACCTTCTGATTTGTACGTGCCTTGGGAAGATAGGGAGAAGAGGTATGCATAGAAATAGGTATTGCAATTGACCTCACGACAATTGACCATCTGCGGCACGTGAAAAGTGGGCGTGTCCATCTCGCCTGGAGGGTAAACGAAAAAATTTGGCTCCATTACATTCTCATTGAAATTGTGTTTGTTTAAGTTTGAGGAAGTCTAATCCTGTGTCTTGAAAGCGTTTCGAAGTGATTTTACTGTTTTATGGAAGGATTATGATGAGTACATTGAGTGAGCAATATAAAAGCTTGGACAAAATAAATGCTAAAAGAAATATGGAAAAAATTGCGTACATAGGATATGAGGATCCATAT